TAGTGTTCTCCACTATTAGCACATGCTGGTGTAGTGTTCTCCACTATTAGCAGTTGCTGGTGTAGTGTTCTCCACTATTAGCAGTTGCTGGTGTAAAGCCTGTGCCCAGTTCGTTGGCCTGTCCAGCCAGGTCCACAGTCAGTATAGACACCAGGCAGGTTTGGGGTGCACAGGGTGGGGAGGTCCCCACTGGCTCCCGTTCCACTTTCACCAGGGTCCGAGGAAGAAGAGTCCTGCCTTGATTCTTCCTCCTTTATCACCCAGCTATGTCACCACTGTCGCTTATCCAGAATCTCCCAGCAAGAGGGAAGGGGGAGGCCTTACCAGCCAGCCCTTCTTTTGAGAAGTGGCAGCGCGTGCTGGGGTTTGGGTCTGCCAGCGCGTGCTGGGGTTTGGGTCTGCCAACCCGGTGGCTGTGTACCACCACCGTGATATTTCTGATGAAAAACCTGTAAGTCCAAAGTCCCATTGAGTTACCGCTCTGCTTCTTTGATGAAATTGATGAGGGGTGAGGTGTGTGTGTGCGATTAAGACGCAACAATGAGGAACTGATACCAAGGGCTCAAGTAGAAAGCAAATGTTTTGAGAATGATGAGGGCAACAAATGTACAGATGTGCCTGACACAATGGATGGATGGATGGATTGTGATGAGAGTTGTACAAACCCCAATAAAATGATTAAACAAAAGAAAAAGAAGCAACAGTGCTAGTTTCTTCAGCTGTGTCTGAGCTCACATTTGAATGTGGGAAAATGCTGGTTTAGGGGGAAAACAAGAAGCCAAAAGATTGCCACCATGGTCCCAAACACAGCATTACGTTTTTGCGGACTTATTTTTTTACAGTGTTAATGAGATAATAATAGGATATAGTCTCCAGCTCAAGTGACTATTCATATGCTGAATGAATATTTATTTTTGTAGCCACTTAAAAAGTATGTTGATCTCTTATTCTTTATTCAAATAAAAGGCTCATTTTTCCAAATAAATGTGTGCCGCGCTTTTCTCAATTCCTGTTTTAAAAAGTTTTATTGGCTCATAACTCACATATTATACAATTCACTAGTGCAGTCATAAAGAAGAGTTGTACAGTCATCAACACAATCAGGGCATTTTGATCTTTCTTGTGCTTGTTGCTAGCTCCCCATTCCCCTCCCGCCTCATCTGCTAGACCCCCGAAACCATTAATCCACTTACTGTCCGTGTAGATTTACTTATTCTGTATTTCATGTACAGAAACACATGCACACACACACATGCACACACATACCGGACAGCAATAATAGTCAAATGGAAAGCCCCAATCAAAAGCAGAAAATAATAAAAACTTTTATTATTTAAAATAGGTCAAAAGGGAGATCAAGTGATAAGGTGTTACATTTTAATGCACCTGCATCTGCCCCGGCCCACTCTCCAGTGCACACTGCGTGGTAGCCACGCTTTGCACACCCCCGGTGTGTGGTCAGAGAGATTCACCGGAGGCTCAATCCATGTGTATTTACCTCCCCACACCTTTTTTTTTTCCCAACAGAGAAAACTTTTAAATGGGTCAAAAGGAGTTGTTTTGCTTTTTGAACTCAGGTACAAAATGATCATTTGTACCAGATTACAGACTTGAAAGGGGGAATCAGGAATCAGCCCTGCATTCTGGTTTTAAGGATTTGTTTGTTTGTTGTCCCCTTGCCCGGATCACCTAGGGTTCCGGGGAGAATGTTCGGGGTCACAGGGAGCACATGGCATTACTCACAACCGAGGGCCTGGTTTGGTTTCTGCCAGCGCTTGATGTGTGCGCGGTGGGGCTGGGCACAGTAGGGATCGGCACCCACGTGCTCTCCTGGAAACTTCTGGAGATGCTTTGTGGGAGGGCTGCCAGTGCAGTGGTCCTGGGGTGTCCTTTCATCCACAGTCTTTGACTGCTCAATGTTCTAGGCCAGTGGTTCTCAACCTTCCTCATGCTGCCACCCTTCCATACAGTTCCTCATGTGGTGGTGACCCCCAGCCACAAAATGACTTTTGTTGCTCCTTCATCACTGTCATTTTGCTACCATGATGAATCGGGCGACCCCTGTGAAAGGGCTGCTTGAGTCCCATGGGTGGAGAACCGCTGCTCTGGGCCCTCAGCCTGCAACGGGGGCACGAGCGGCCCAGCTTGGCCTGCATGCAGCTTGCGCTTCGTCCAGGGGAAACACCCATGAAACCAAAATGCATCACCATTGAGTTGATTCCGACTCCTGGCGACCCAGCAGGGCAGGGTAGAACTGTTCCTGTGTGTTTCTGGGACTGTCCCTCGTTATAGGTGTCGGAAACCTGGCTTTTCACCCACCTATGAGACATCCCAAGGCAAAAGCCACCCATCACAGGCCGGCCAAGCCAGGCAAAAGTGCTGTTCTGCCTGCTATCAACAAGGTCACATGCATGCTCCTCTGTCCTACGAGCTCAGCTCACGGCTGGGGACAGTGAGGCCAGGCCCCTGCGCCACGGAGGGTGTGCTGTGTGTGGACTGAGCAGGCAGTTGCTGGCTCCGTGACAGGGTCTTGCTGCAGCAGTGTCTGGAGCGGGCCGATGGACTGAGATGCTCAGCGAGGACAGCAGCTGGGAAACTGCTGACTTTCTTAGAAGACTTGGCAGTCGCATGAATTCCTATGAGCCACAACTGGGAATCTTGTTTATAAGCAAGCTCTTCTTTGTCCGGTGGATTCAGGGTCAAATATGGAAACTCCATGGGTTCGGTGTCTCTCAGCTCAGCGCGCTCGTGCAAACGGTGGACAAGTCCTTCCGCCGCAACTTTGCGTGCAGAGGAGGGGATTCGAGGACAGAGCTCCTGCAGTCACTGGGTGCTAGAAAACAGGGCCAGGGCCCGAGATGTGAAGGGACTTTGGAAATGCTGGCATCCTCTGAGCAGTTGGGCTTCTGGGACAAGAAGGGAAGTCACGTCATCGTCGTGAGGTGCTGTTGAGGTGGCCCTGGCCCACAGTGACCCATGATTGTCGCGTGTGAGCCCCTTGTTGCTGTCGCTGTGTCCATCCACCCTGCGAGGGCTGCTGGTTTTCACGGCCCCTCGACTCTCCAGGGAGGCTGAGGCATCCTGGGGAAGGAGTAGCCCTTTCTACGCTCTTTATAGTTCAACAACTTTTTTGGGAGTGTGGGTGTTTTGACCGCCTCGTCTTACATGCTTGGATGTGTGGTCAGGAGAGACCAGTCCCTGGGGAAGGACATCCTGCTTGGTGACGTGGAGGGGCAGTGAAAAAGAGGAAGACCCTCAAGGAGACGGACGGACACACTGGCTGCAACAATGGGCTCAGGCAAAAAACCATGGTGGCGAGGAGGGCTCCGGGGCGGGGCAGCATGCCCCAGGCAGTGGTACCCAGGGTCACTACAGCTCAGAGCCCACCCCTCACAACAACGCGACCTGCTCTTTCAGGGTGACCTTGGTAGTTCATGACAGCTGAACACCTGCAAAATCCTCCTGGGGCCCAAGTGTTTGTCTCAAGTTGTTCAGGTGGCTCGGGCAGACGCTCCCCGGGTGACAACCACAACATCAGGGTCCTGAGGATTCTGGGAAAATCCTCAGGAGATGGATGGGCTATGAGGGCATCTGTTACTAGGATACCTTTTTCTCCACAAGGAACCAGGGAGGAATTACTCATGTGGTGGTTCGACCTCTTGACACTAGAGAGTTTTGCAATGCACATTACTCAGAAAGGGATTCAGGCAGGTTCAGGAAGTCACTGCACTGCCGATTGGCGCAGGAGGAAGGGCCGGGGCCATCTGCCTGTGTCCCACCCTGGCTCCAGGGCTGGCACCCGCTGCCTGCCATCCAGTGTGTTTGAGCCCACAGTGATGGATGCAGAAGACCAGGCTTGAGCAGTCAGCGCAGAGTGTGGGAACAAGGCCGGGCCCTCTCTGAGGAAGGGCTGTGGGAAACAAGACAGCCCAAGTCGCCTGGCAAGACCCAGGTGCTCAGGAAACATTCATTTCTTTCCCATTCCCTTCTCCCTATGGAAAATCATGGGGAGGGGGGGGCAAGAAAAATAAGGGCAGTAGCATAGGGCCCCTGGGCAGTTAAAAGTGAGCAGGACTTCTCACTGTGAACACATCTGAAGACCGCTCCCCTCCTTCCAGCCACCAAGGAGACAATGATGGTGAGTTCCATCTCTGTCTTTCCTTCCTTTTGGGTGGGGCCCTGGTGCCGTGTTGCTCACGGGCTAGGCTGCTAACTGCAAGGTCAGCAGTTTGAAGCCTCCAGTCGCTCCTAGGGAGAAAGCAGAGGCTTTCTACTCCCATCAACCGCCCAAGAGGATGGACGGTCCACCCTGCCCTGCAGGGTCACTGGGAACCAGAATCGACATGACGGCAGGGGCCTGGGTTTCCTTTTAGCCGCATGGCAGAGATGGGGAGGGGGCAGGGAAGCAAGCCCTACAGCTGAGGGTGGAGGGGGTTGGCGACTTGTCAGGTGGAGGTGCACACCCCCCCTCCCAACACACACCGGTTGGGCTGGGCTATCCATCTGGATATGCCTCAAGAGGACACGGAGGAGACGGGAGACTGAGAGCTCATCAAGAGAGACATGCTTTGGAGACTGAGCCGCGTGCCTCCTGGTTTTACGCGGGTTACGCACCTCCATCAAGAGGTGGTCCGCGTGGTCTGCGTCCTCCTCCTCCTCCACCACTCTTTAGAAATCTTAAGGGCCAACTGGGGTGAGGAAGACTGAGGAAACCCGAAGAGGACAGTCCCTCTGAGCAGCATGGGTGGGAGGGGCTGTGCCTGCTGGCTTTGGACCACGGGGGTGGGGGTGGGTGTGGAGGGGAGGCGAAATCACAGTGCCCCTAGCCAGCCCAGATGTTATCTTTCCACACAGTGTTTCCCTTCCTGCTGCACCGGCCAAGCCTCTCTCTGGG